TATATATAACCGAACGCCGCACGAAACACACTTTAATATACATTCATCATAAAAGTCACAAGTACACAATTGGGGAAAAAGTACAGAAAGACCGGCGCTCCCGAACGGCTTGGAAGTCCAGCGGTGTTCGTGTTGTTGAGTAGCCGATTTTAGTTCCAGGCACTCGACGACCAAACACCGCTGGGCAAAAGGGAAATCCAAGATGGCCGCCGCCTCGTGGTCGGTAGCCGAATGACGGCCACCCGGAAAATCCATTAGCAGCCGATTGCTACAATGTTGCAATCGGTTAATGGGAGCCACACGACCCCCTGTGTGTGGGCTCCCATTTGGTACTTTATTCGTTTCATGAACAGTGTGGAAAGTCACTGTTCGTGAAACTACCATATGAATGCTAGCGGCTTTCGGCCGCTAGCATACGAATGCTTTCTATTACAGTGATAAGTAAATACAGAAACGAACAGAATTGGACCAGCTTTCTAGGACAACCTTTAGACATATAACCGCACAATCTAAAGTGGCTAGGTTTGCCACAATGACAGTTATTGGAAGTTGCAGAACTGTGCCAGTACCATTTTAAATGGCCAGAACAGTCTTTTAAAACACCAATAAGTCCAAATGGTGTTTCTAACTGGCAAAATCTATCAGGGACCATAGTTATACGGCAAGAGGCTGGTAATTAGTCCTCTCCAGGCACAAGTGGCGAAGGGCACTTCGTCACACATTTTCCCATTGAGGGGGAGACTAACCAGGTACCTGACTTTCTGTTATTCGAGTAGCCCACCCACAACAAACAGTTAACAGAGTAGCCCACCCACAATACACTATTACTGCACCTGGTGATTCCTGGTGTCCGGCTCTGGCCTGTATGTCCGGCTCTGGCCTGTATTGCTGAGGGGAACTAGTGGGCAGAGGCCAGCGGCGCTCTGCCCTGATGCTAGCGCTTCTGCTGGGTTGGCCGGTGGGTATTCAGGCTCTGACCAAGAGGGCAAGGGAGGGCAGAGGCCGACCGCGCTCTGCCCGGATGCCAGCTCTTCTGCTAGAATGGGGTCAGTGGAGGCTAACATATTCTCCTCTAAACCCAGTACCGGGCTGTGGCTGTGGAGGTACCTGGTACTCCTGCTGCCGCTGGGGAGCGAGACCGGTTGTCTCCTCTCCCTGGGGCTCCAACTGCAGTTGGGGATCTGGGCCGGCTGCCCAGCATCCCTGTAGAGCCGGTGGAGAGACCTCAATCCCATCTCCACCTGCCATTTGGGGCATGAGGTCCCCTACCTCGGCTACCTCTGGTTGCTGTTGGGGAGGGAGACCGGTTGTCTCTTCTCCCACTAACACATTTAGCCGCTGGGGAGGGAGGCCGACTGTCTCCTCTCCCGATAAGACATACTGCCACTGGGGAGGAAGGACGACACCTTCTGCTCCCTGGGAGGCACACTGCTGCTGGGGAGGGAGACCGATTGTCTCCACTCCCTGTAGGATACACTGCCGCTGGGGAGGGGGACCGGTTGTCTCCTCTCCCTGTGAGATGTACTGCCGCTGGGGAGTAGGACCGCCTCTCCTTACTCCCGGTACTTCCAGCTGCAGCTGGGGATCTGGGCCGACTGCCCAGCATCCCTGAAGGGCGGGTGGAGAGACCTCTGTCCCATCTCCACCTGCCAGTTGGGGTTCCTCCCAGGACCAGTCTATGAGATCCCCCAGGGCTTGGGAATAAAGACCACCTGCCTCCTCTCTCTGTAGCTCTGGATGCAACTGGGGATCTGGGCTGGCTGCCCAGCATCCCTGAAGGGCCGGTGGAGAGACCTCGGTCCCATCTCCACCTGCCTGTTGGGGTTCCAGGACTTCAAAATAAGGACCACCTGCCTCCTCTCTCTGTAGCTCTGTCTGCAACTGGGGATCTGGGCCGGCTGCCCAGCATCCCTGAAGGGCCGGTGGAGAGACCTCGATCCCATCTCCACCTGCCTGTTGGGGTTCCTCCCAGGACCAGTCTATGAGATCCCCCAGGACTTCGAAATAAGGACCACCTGCCTCCTCTCTCTGTAGCTCTGGCTGCAACTGGGGGTCTGGGCCGGCTGCCCAGCATCCATGTAGGGCCGGTGGAGAGACCTCAGTCCCATCTCCACCTGCCTGTTGGGGGTCCTCCCGGGACCAGTCTATAAGGTCCGCTACCTGTGGTACCTCTGGTTGCTGCTGGGGAAGGAGACTGGTTGTCTCTTCCCTCTGCACTGCCATTGAGGAGGGAGACCGGTTGTCCCCAGCCCCAGTCTCCACAATCTGAACTCACATTCCCGTGCTGCTTTGTTCTCTTCATCCAACTCTTGCATGATACGGACGATCACCTCTTCTGAAGGGTCTGGGCCATACTCGACTAGCCGCCTCTTTATCTCCGTGATGTAAGCGCCGCCCTCATAGCAATAGGTCATGTTTGCTTGACCCCACTCTGGGCCACTAGCGCTCCGATTTGCGCCTTGGATTCTGCTGTAGACAGTGGCGCTGCACGAGTACTAGCGTTGCCCTCAATTATAGCTCCGTAACGCTACCAGTGTCTCTAAGCTGCTTCTCCTCGCACTAGGACGCCATCCCACCGCTTGCCACCGAATGTGACGGACCCGCTGGCACTCCGACCGAGTACCTCAGCCAATCGATGCTCCTAGTGCTTGCCGAGGACTCCAAGCACACCAACCGACACCATCAGCACTGCAGACCTATCCCATCTCCCAAGCATGAGCCAAGGCTTTAAGAAAGGGTCAAGCAGGTCTGTTTAATGAGCACACAAAAGCAACAGCACTCATGCAGCAAAACAACTCCTCCTCAGAGGAAAACAAAATGACCGTTAAAGGGTCAGACAGTGTTTGAATATATGACAGTTATTGGAAGTTGCAGAACTGTGCCAGTACCATTTAAAGGGCCAGAACAGTCTTTTAAAACACCAATAAGTCCAAATGGTGTTACTAACTGGCAAAATCTACCAGGGACCATAGTCATACGGCAAGAGGCTGGTAATTAGTCCTCTCCAGGCACAAGTGGCGAAGGGCAAAGGATATTTTGTGCGCTCAGATCCATTGTACCAATTAAAGAATATGATGTATGAGTTATGGATTTTTATATAGTTTTCATGTATTTGTAAAAGTAGAATATTGCCTGTACCTGGAGATAATTTGTTTTTCATCGGTTACAATAACCTAATTATCTCCCGGATAGAGGGGAGGGTTTGAAAAGATGCACTTTGTTCCCATTGGTTGTTGTCACTTGTCACCCTGAAAATGTGTATTTAAGCAGTGCCTTGTCATTCAATAAACCAGACTTCTTACCCTCGACTCGTGTTGTAGGGAAATGCTGATTGCTGACTCTGCTAAGAACTATATGGATACTTTACACTTACAGGAATATTGCTAGATGTGGAATTGGAACTCTCTACTGCTTTCCAGGATCGGGGACAAGGACATCAAAGCGGTCCAACCCTCAGCTAGCCTGAGGCATACCGTAACAGTCTGTGTGTGATATAAGGGGTGATGTAATAATGGCTATTGTGACGAGAGCAATCTCGCCACATTGCATCGGAGAAGCCTGGTTGCTCGCCTGTTGCCTCTGGACTCTGGCCCCATGGTAAAACTTGTATTTTCCCCTGCAGAAAGGCTTATTCGTGACTTTCTGCCAGAGTGTTCGGTAAATTCTATGTACCGAACAACCGCACGAATGACTGGACCACCTGGGAGCTGGAGTGTGTCGGCAATTTACCTCCCAGAAGCTGCGGTTAACCGCAGCTTAATTGACAATTACTGGGTGGTCGCGGTTACACTTAGCCGCTACATGATGGCGGTGTTATGGAAGCTCCCCGGGTAGCCAGTGCTTGTTCTACCCAGCGGCAGGACACCAAAAGCGGACACTTTGTTTTTCATGCCCCGCTGAGGCTGGAGGTCTGCAAACCCGTTCGGGAACCGAACAACGGAGCATTCGGGACTTTTAGAGTTGTAATGTATTCGGTGTAAAAGTACCCAGATCGCCTGCCATGGAGCCTGTTCGTGGAATTAAAGACTTTGGCTCCATGGCGATTGAACTGTATTCGTGTGGTCTGAGCGCCATTCGCTTAATAATGTGCGCTCAGACCTGAGCTATCTGGGGATATGTTAAATGTATATATTTATTGTAACCTTTCCAACATGGGGGATTTTAACAGTAATTCCTATATTGGTATTCCCACGTGCATAATGGCGATTTGCCTTTGTCCTGGGAGATAATTGAATTACTTCTCAATTATCTCCAGGGCAGATGGGAGGAAGCCAGGATGCATTGTGGGAATATAATGTGTCTGTGTGTCCTAGATTGATGCTTGGTTGTCCTTTGTCACAGTCTCCGATTTGGTCCCCTAGGGGAGTGTCCACCAGGCAGGAGACCTGCATAAATACTGGGCAGGTAGCCCACTGCTTGACCCTCAACACGGAGCTCTGTCTTGTTCTTGGGGGGTTTACTGGATGCTGATAGAGACTGATTGCTAGGAGTGTAAGCCTGTTGGATGCTTTTCCTATTCGTCTGCTAGCAGCTATTCGTATGATTCCATTTCGGGAGTTTGGAGTGCTATTTTGTATGCAGTTCGGGAGTTTGGAGCATTCCCTCATATGCGGTTCGGGAGTTTGGTGTTCTGCAGTAGCTGTGCCTGTATCTCTGAAAGGGGAAGATCTCCTAAACGGCGGTTTAACCCTTTTTTGCTGAGGGTGCCGTTACAGCTATGTATTATTTATGGGGTGATGTCAGTGGTGTAATTTAGATTTGTGCTGCCCTAGGCATAACGGAACTCAGGCAACCCCTAATTTGAATTTGCCCCACCCATTCTGGTCAAGGCCACACCTCTTCCTGTGTGAACACTTACAATCACAGATGCAGAGGCGGCTCTCTAATTAGGCAGTTTAGGCGGCCGCCTAAGGCCTCGCGCTAGAAGGGGCCTCGCGGCCGCCTAAACCGAGTAATTAGAGAGCCGCTGCAGTGCTTTCAAATATTATAAAAAAAATTTAATGCCGGCCAGCGGCCGCATCAATATTGCCGCGGCGCCGGCTCTATTACAAGATGAAACCCTCTCACATGGGTTTCCCGTGCAGGAGTGAATCCCCTCCCTTCCTCCTGCACGCTACCTGGTAATCGGCCAATCAGCGATGCCGATTACGTCACGACGTAACCCCTCCCCCGCCTGCGGTACCGAAGAGAAGAGGAGCTGCTGAAGAAAAGAGAGCAGAGGAGAAGGGAGAAAAAGGAAGGACTCAGGAGAGCAGAGGAGAAGGCAGAAAAAGGAAGGACTCAGGAGAGCAGAGGAGAAGGCAGAAAAAGGAAGGACTCAGGAGAGCAGAGGAGAAGGGAGAAAACGGAAGGACTCAGGAGAGCAGAGGAGAAGGGAGAAAAGGGAAGGACTCAGGAGAGCAGAGGAGAAGGCAGAAAAAGGAAGGACTCAGGAGAGCAGAGGAGAAGGCAGAAAAAGGAAGGACTCAGGAGAGCAGAGGAGAAGGGAGAAAAGGGAAGGACTCAGGAGAGCAGAGGAGAAGGCAGAAAAAGGAAGGACTCAGGAGAGCAGAGGAGAAGGCAGAAAAAGGAAGGACTCAGGAGAGCAGAGGAGAAGGGAGAAAACGGAAGGACTCAGAAGAGCAGAGGAGAAAGGCTTAGACAGATTGACTCCTGTCTGGGTCTGGATCTCCAGTTCTGTCACTGAGGGGGCCCTTCCTGAGGCTCTTTTCAATGACTCAGAGCTCCATAACCAGTACTCTGAGTAATTGACTGAGTGCTGGAATATCGAGGGAGCTGTTAAAGTGATCTGCAGCTAATATCAGTGCAGACCTCAATGCTCCACCACCGAACCACCAGGCACCTTCTCCAGCTTACCCTCCACCAGACCACTAAGGATCCAGTCCAAAGTGCCCTCCACTGGACCACCAGGGATAATAGTCCCCTTCTGCCAAAAGGTAAGCAGGAGGGGTCAAAAGAACCACTGCCCCACACACTACACACACTAACCCCCATCAAGTTCTTTCTCAAAGGCCCAAACGAAACATCTATGTTGAATACTGCTACCAAAAGGTTTATGGAAAATCCAGTAATTATTACAATTATTATTCTTCATTTTCTGCCCCCTCTTATCTCTAATCTCTCCAGAGCCCCCATTATGTTTTTCAGACTCTCTCCCTCCACCAATTTTCTCTTTGCAATCCTCCTATTACTTCCCTCAGCCTGTACATTATCACTATAGCTCTTTCATAGTGACCAAGTGTGCACTTGACTGGCATGATTATAGTGAAACAGAGGCAGGAATTACCACCAGCCAGTGAGTCTAACTCTGCACAGGAAAGACAAGTGCTGATCGCTCAACCATGCTACAGGATTAACCCATGAGCTGCCGGAGGAAATATTGATGGGTTGACTGCTTAGTGATTGGTTGCATATGTTACAAATCCCTGGTGTACAGGGCCCAAAGGGCAGCTGCTAAGGATCCCTACATAATACAGGGACTAAAGTATCGGCCCATTTTGCCCTGTGGTAAAGACAGCCCTTTTCTTGCCTCCAGCAAAGTGTTCAGCTGCTCCATATGTTTTGGAACACTTAGTGTTTATCTGCCGCTAATGAAATGTGCTGCTAAATAAAAGTCATTTTCCTAAATTGCTTTTTGTTAAAAAACCCTTTCATAAAGTTAATTCATCAAGTTAATTTCAGAACGTTAAATTGAGCTAACACAACTTTTAATTGTATAGGTATAAAATATTATTTGCTTGAAATCCTCATTGTATCTATGGTGTAAAAATCGAAATTCAGGCCCTGTTGTCCTAAACAATTTAATTTTGCATGTTTGTATGTGTATCTGTTTGTATGTGTATCTGTGTGTCTGTGTATCTGTTTGTATGTGTGTCTGTATGTGTTTCTGTTTTTGTGCATCTTTCTATTTGTATGTGTGTCTGTATCTGTGTGTCTGTGTTTGTGTGTCCATTTGTGTATCTGTATGCCTATCTGTGTGACTGTATGTCTGTATGTGTGTCTGTATGCATATGTGTGTCTGTATGCCTACCTGTGTCTCTTTATCTTTTTGTACGTGTGTAACTGTGTGTCTGTATGTGTATCTGTTTGTCTGTATGTTTATCTGTGTGTGTGGATTTGTCTGTATGTGTATCTGTGTGTTTGTATGTGTATCTGTGCGTGTAAATGTTTGTATGTGTCAGTGTGTGTATCCAAATGTGTATCATTCTGTGTGTCTGTGTATCTGCATGTGTGTCAGTGTAGTTGTCTGTGTATCTGTATGTGTATTAGTGTGTATCTTTGCATCTGTATATGTATGTGTGTTATTGTGTGTCTGTTTATCTGCATGTTTGTCAGTGAGTGAATGTGTGTGTGACGGACCGCTGGCACTCCGACTGAGTACCTCCGCCAATCGATGCTCCTAGCGCTCGCTGAGGACTCCAAGCACTCCAACCGACACCATCAGCACTGCAGACCCCACTTCCAGCGATGCAACTGCGCCGGGGTCTCTGCTGTTTCCACCCACCCTGGACCCAAGGCCAGAATCCAGCTTCCAGTGGGTGAACCTCTCTTTACCCAGAGAGCAGGAACAGGAACAAATCAAGCTATTGCAAGAGCTTCCTCTAGGGGGTAAGTGATTATAGCAATCCCCAGAGTGTAGGTATCCCTTCCCCCAAACATGAGCCAAGGCTTAATGCTGGAACAAGACTGATTTACTGGCACACAGAACTCACAATTTATGCAACACAAAACTCCTCCTCTGGGCCGGGCTAGATAATTGAGTTTCTACAATACACAAAGCTCAATTATCTGCTGGCCAGAAACATTACAATTTTTACAGCATTCATAACTTCTAAAATATACATCACAGGGACCCCAAAACATGCAATAACCCCATAAAAAGTACATCCTTGGAACCGGGGGATCTGGGTAAACCACACATCCAAAACTCACCCAGATCCGTTCAGCACCCTGGAAAATACAGTTCAATGCAGATTCTGCAGAACATATACAGGCTAAATGAAAAACAATCACTTTATAATGTGTCCCCTGCTGTATAGTCCAAAACCACTGCACGATGTCTCTGTGCACCAAATACTGGCAAGATGGCACCGTGTTGAAAAGTCCAAACAGTGTCTGTGAGTTAAAATGGCGCCATCCATTGTTCTCACCATGTGCTTCTGATACAGGAAATGGTGGCCACCCAGTAACTCCACAGTATGTCCCCAGATGGTTCTTAAAAGGGCCAGCAGCAGCACAACACAAATCCATTATGCCCAAATCATGTTTTTAAAGGGCAATACAAACCAGGGGCCATAGTCACAGGGCAAGAGGCGGGCAAGCAGTCCTCTCCAGGCACAAGTGGCGAAGGGCACTTCGTCACAGTGTGTAAATGTGTATCTGCATGTGTGTCTGTGTATGCACTTGTGTGTATATGTATCTGTCTTTGTATGTCTGTACCTGTGTATGTGTGTATCTCTATGTATGTCAGTGTCTGCATCTGTATGTGTGTCAGTGTGTGTATTTTGTCTCAGTAAAAATGAGTGTGGCTAAGTGTGTTTTTATTTTGGGGGTTTTTTGTGTTGGTTTTTTTTTTTGTGTGGGGTCGGAGTGCACGATTGCATGCTAGGCCCAGGGGGCCCAAGCAAATGCCTGCCCAGGGTCCAATTAGTATTAAAGATGGCCCTGACTTCAATGGACAGTTGGTTTCTGCATACTCTAACAGCAGAAGCAGCTTTTCTATCTCGCTCATAGACACACTTGGTATAATGAGTCTGAGGGACAGGATGTAATGTGACATCACTCAGACTAACTGTGCTCAGCTCGGCTTTTATGAAAGCTGTCTCTCCTTATCGAACAGGAAAAATATAGCTTGAATCCTTACTGGAGTAGAGACTAGGCAAATAATCCTTAAATCCAGAAAAACAGACAAAAGAAATAGCTTGTGGATACAGTTTGTTTCTTTAAAATAATTTTCTTATTTTACTGTGTTGGCTAGTGTCACGGCACCCCACCTGATGAGAATATCAGAGGCATTTTCCTATGCGCTTAGTATACTTACACAAACGCCGTCTCCATGCGAGTGCTCCTCCTTCTGTCATTCTGTCCAAATAGAGCTGGTGCATATCAAAGCCTTTTTATGGCTCTGCCTCCTTAGACCAGGTTGATGACATGGATTTGCATACGTCATCACTAGTGATGTCCCGGACGGTTCGCCAGCGAATAGTTCCTGGCGAACAACGCTTGTTCGCCACGGACGGCCCCTATTCGTCATCATTGAGTAAACTTTGACCCTGTACCTCACAGTCAGCAGACACATTCCAGCCAATCAGCAGCAGACACTCCCTCCCAGACCCTCCCACCTCCTGGACAGCATCCATTTTACATTCATTGTGAAGCTGCATTCTTAGTGAGAGGAGGGACAGTGTAACTGCTGCTGATTTGATAGGGAAATTGATAGCTAGGCTAGTGTATTCAGTGTCCACTACAGTCCTGAAGGACTCATCTGATCTCTCTGACCTCACTACCCCCCACACCACCCCCAGCCTCACTACCCCCACCACCACCCTCAGCATCACCATCCTCAGAATCACCCCCCCACCACACTCAGCATCACCCCCACCACCCTCAGCACCACCACCCCCAACCGCCCTCAGTCTCACTACCACCCACACCACCCTCACTCACTACCACCCACAGCCTCACCCCTTCCACCCACAGCCTCACCTACCCCCCACCACCCTCCATCACTACCCCCCAACCACCTCAGCATCACCACCCCCCACCACCCTCAGCATCAACCCCTCACCATCACCCCCTCCTTATCACATCACCCCTCCTCACATTACCCCCTCCTCCTTCTCACATTACCCCCCACACCATCACCTCCCTGTCACCATCACCTGTCACCATCACCTCCCTGTCACCATCACCCGCCTCTCACCATCACCCGCCTCTCACCATCACCCGCCTCTCCTTCTCACCATCACCCCCCCATACACACAACACACTTCAAGCAGCTACCCCATACACATAGGGTCTCAGACAAAAACGCAAACATGCTCACAGAGACATACATTCACACACAAGGATACTCTCTGTCAGACACACTCTCAGGCACATACACAGGTAAACTGTGCATCAATGTGTATATGTGACACTTTTTTGTTAGTGGGGCCTCATGTTTGAGTTTCGCCTAAGGCCTCATAAAGTCTAGAGCCGCCTCTGCACAGATGCACAATCACTCAAACACACACACATTCACTGACAGACCCACACTGACAGATATCCACACATACTCACTCACAGACACACACTGACAAGACTAACACACACTTTGACTGACAGACACACTGACAAAAACTTTCACAGATACACTGACATACACACTCACTGATTTAACACAATCTGACAGACACACACAATCACTCAAACACACTGACTGACTCACTCACAGACACAGTGAGTGTGTATGTCTGTGAGTGAGTGACATACACACACACTGACAGACATACACACACACTGACAGTAAATGTGGGTGGGTGTCTGTCAGTTTGTGTGTATGTCAGCGTGAATCTGTGAGTGAGTGAGTGAGTGTGTGCCTGTTAGTCAATGTGGGTGGATGTCTAACAGACACCCACTCACTCACAGATCCACGCTGACAGACATACACACAATCACTTACTCACAGACACACACTGACAGACACCCACCCACATTTACTGACAGATACTCACTCACAGACACACGCTGACAGACAGACACACATTCACTGACACACTTACACTGACAGATATACACACTCACTCACAGACACATAACGACAGACAACCACAGTCACACAAACATTCAGTAACAGACACTATAAGATTTATACACACACACACATTCACTGACAGACACACACACAGCTGGGCTGGCTGCTGGGCAGAAGTCAGCAGGGCATGCAGAAAGGCAGGAGGGTGGGTGGGCGCGCTACACTAGTAGCGAGGGAGCCGTGATCTCCCTACTTAGATCCCTTGTGTGGCGAAACCGAGAAGACTGATTGCCTGCCTCCTGCCATGTGACTATGGCCCCTGGGATGTATTGCCCTTTAAAGACATGATTTGGGCATAAGGGATTTGTGTTGTGCGGCTGCTGGCCCTTTAAGAACCATCTGGGGACATACTGTGGAGTTACTGAGTGGCCACCATTTCCTGTATCAGAGGCACATGGTGAGAACAATGGATGGCGGCCATTTTAACTCAGAGACACTGTTTGGACTTTTCAACACGGTGCCATCTCGCCAGTATTTGGTGCACAGAGACATCGTGCAGTGGGTTTGGACTATACAGCAGGGGACACATTATACAGTGATTGTTTTTCATTTAGCCTGTATATGTTCTGCAGAATCTGCATTAAACTGTATCTTCCAAAGTACTGAACGGATCTGGGTGAATTTTGGATATGTGGTTCACCCAGATCCCCCGGTTCCAAGGATATACTTTTTATGGGATTATTGCATGTTTTGGGGTCCCTGTGATGTGTTTTATGAAACTGTATTTCTCTGTCTGTGATAATTAGATTACCCATTGTGTAAGGTTATTGTATCACAGGCAGAGGGGAGGATTTTGTGTAGGAGTGTCTTTCTGTAATGTACGTGTGTTATTGGTTGTTCTGTAAAACCCTGTGGGCAGTACTAAGATTGTGGATTGGGAATAAAAGAGGCTGTATGTGCCAGTCCAGTCAGTTCCTGCTTAACCCTCAAAGTGAAGTGTCGTCTCATTATTGGGGGAGGATTTATTGTATGCTGTTCCAGATTGACTGCTAGGAGTGTAAACCTATTCGCATGGTTTTTCCTATTCGGCTGTATACAACATTCCAATGCTTGAGAGCATTCATATGCTTCTCCGATTCGGTTGTGGTGTCTGCTGCAGTGCTTGGAGTCCTCAGGAAGTGCTAGTAGCATCCTTCAACGGAGGTACCCAGTCGGGGTGCCAGGTGATCCGTTACACCTTGCATGCCGCAGAGTGATGTTGGGAGCCGGAGTGACGTCATATTCCGGCTCCCGGCATAACTGTGGGGCGCGTAAGGGAACAGAGCAGGGAGAGCTCACAGTTCAGCGCTCCCTCGCCGCTCGCCTGGGACCGAAGTGGCAAGCCGGCCAGCTCTTAAAAACAACACTGACAAGGTATTTGCCTGGGCATTTGGGGACAGAGTTTTTTGTCGCCCCCTGGAAAGTGCCGCCCAAGGCAAATGCCTTGTCAGCCTTGCGGTAAATACATCACTGGGTGATGTAATAATGGCTGTGTGTTATATATGGGGTGATGTAATAATGGCTGTATGTTATATATGGGGTGATGTAATAATAATGGCTGTGTGTTATATATGAGGTGATGTAATAATAATGGCTGTGTGTTAAATATGGGGTGATGTAATAATAATGGCTGTGTGTTATATATGGGGTGATGTAATAATAATGGCTGTGTGTTATATATGGGGTGATGTAATAATAATGGCTGTGTGTTAAAGAACATTTTATCATGTTCAGTTGGATCACGGTGATATCCCAGAATTCCTCTGTTTCATGTTTCCAAAATGGTTGTTGTGAGAGCATAAAAGGCGAGGCGAAAGCCCGTCACATCCCATCACTGATGGTCACGGGAGGACAGAGCTTTGTTATCCTAGTAGTCCAGGTGAGAGAGAACAAGAGCATGAACCATCACCTTAGCCGCATCCGGGGTTAAATAGGGGTTGATCTGCACTATGTTTTTGAGATGAGAGCGACAGGATTTGGCGATTGATTGGACATGAGGGGTGAAGGAGAGGTTGGAGTCAAAAAGAACACCCAGGCAGCGAGCCTGCGAGGTAGAGGTGATGGTAGCGCCGTTGACTTGGAGGGAGACAGACACGGGAGTAGTAACACTTGAGGGAGGAAAGACCAGAAGTTCTGTTTTGGGCAGGTTGAGTTTAAGGAAGTGAGCAGCCATCCATTTGGAAATCGAAGAAAGGCAGTCAGAGACACGAGTCAAGATGGGCGGAGAGAGATCAGGAGTGGACAGGAAGATTTGCATGTCATCCGAATCCGAATAGAAATAGTAACGGAAACCAAAGGAGCTGATAAGTTTACCACGGGAGGTAGTGTAGATAGAGAACAGTAGGGGACCAAGGACAGAACCTCGGGGGACGCCGACAGAGAGGGGTTGGGGAGAAGAGGCAGAGTCAGAGAAAGAAACACTGACAGGGCGCTGGGAGAGGTAGGAGGAGCACCAGGAGAGAGCAGTATCCCGTAGACCAAAATTACGGAGAATGCGAAGAAGCTGTTGATGATCAACCGTGTCAAAGGCAGCAGAAAGATCAAGGAGAATTAGGATAGAGCAATGGCTGCGAGATTTAGCAGCAATTAAATCATTGGATACTTTGGTCACAGCCGTTTCGACAGAATGACCAGCGCGGAATTCAGACTGAAGGGGGTCAAGCAGAGAGTTGGCTTCGAGAAAGTCAGTCAGTCTGGTGTACACAACTCTCTCGAGGATCTTGGAGGCAATGGCAGTAGCGAGATAGGGCGGTAGTTGGATGGGGAGTTGGGGTTAAGGCTGGGCTCTTTCAGAATTGGGGTTACAGTTGCATGTTTGAAGGGTGAGGGAAAAGTGCCAAAAGAAAGGGAGATTGAAAATTTTAGTGAGTGGAAGAGCAAGAGAGGGAAACATAGTGCGGATGAGATATGAAGGAATAGGATCGAGGGAACAGGTGGTGGGGCAGGAGGACCGTAGTAGAGCAGTAACCTGGCGTGGTGGGGACAGAGTCCAATGACTTTCCAGACGAGAAACCTTTTGGATTCATAAATTAAAAACATTAGAGCCCAATGGGCTAAACGTTGATATCGATTTTTTTTTTGATTTTTTTTTTATAATTTACATGCTGTTTCATTTCCTGCTCATGTCCACTTTATCTTTTCAGGTATATATATTTTTTTAGGGGTCTTATATTTCCACACTCTAATATGTAATAACATCTGTATTCTTTCTGCGGTTTTAAGGATTAATAATATTTTTGTTCTCTATAATTTTTCCATGTTATAATTAAGTGGCTATTGGCTACATTGACTATTATTAATTCAGATGTATATTAGTATCCATTTGTTGACATAATATAATATATAAAATATATATCACAGAGCTCCACACCAATAGAACCCCCAACAATATGCAATGCCTATGAGAGTATCACAGAGCTCCACACCAATAGAACCCCCAATAATATGCAATGCCTATGAGAGTATCACAGAGCTCCACACCAATAGAACCCCCAATAATATGCAATGCCTATGAGAGTATCACAGAGATTTACAAAAATCAGTTACTCTGCCATCCCACATAATAGTGTATTTGGGGCTATAGGGTAGGGTATATATTAACCGTAAAATCTGATTACACATAATCCTTGCATTCTTTATGGTATTGTTGTTCACATCACTGAATTTAATGTTCGGTTTTGACCTCCCTAAAAGAAGATTTACAGGCTCCCTTGATAAAGGCATTTTTGCCGAAACGTTGGGGGTGTTTTGGTGATTGACTCTGTCCCTGCTTCTCACTGGGTCTGGTATGCTTCTTGTATTTTTTCTATATATACTTATATTTGTGGGATTGGATTGGTATCTCATTTAATTACCTATTGTACCGATACTTTGCTATTTATACATTACGCATTTGGCGTTTATATATACATCCAGAATTGTACTGGCTGTTACTTTATAATATGATATGACTTTATATCTTGGTTTCTCATGTAATGAGATATTCCAGTATTGTGTACCCACTGAATAAAGGCTTTTGTATATAAACATTTATGGTTGGGCTCCTTACTCTACTTATATTTGCATGTATTTGGGCTTTTGTAAGTGAGCACCCTATCTCTTATTTGTATAGAGCTCCATTTGGGGCTAGCTTGTATTTAATATTGGAGTATGCCTACCTTATTTCATTTTTTACTGTGTTTACATTGCTACCTAGTAAACACCTGTAGTGGCGGTTACTCAGATGGCCACTAGAGGTTTTGCTTGTGTCAGCGCTGCAAAGGGTGCAGCACAGGTGTTCAGCATCTCCTGTAAGATTTTGTAATTGTCTAATTTATTGTTAAATATCACCCTTCCAGAATATCATAAAGCGCTGCGGAATAGTTTGGCGCTATATAAATGGCAATAATAATAGTAGGTTGGCGCTATATACATATCCATAATAATATAGATGCATTGATTTAATGCATCTGTATGAGGAGATGCTGATTGGCGCAGCACCGGACAGTTTCGACTTCCCTTTGGGAAAGCATAGTATTGGCTGAAATCAAGATTATAAAAGCAATGGAGGCGGCACTAGCCGCGGTGATATCAGCACAGAGTAGGAGAAAAGGTGAGTTTTTAACCTTTTCAGAGAGTTCTCAGGGGGGCTGGGGTGCTGAATAGTATTATACTATATTGTATTCCTTTTATATTATTGGATAAACATTTAAAGTTATTTATTCAAAATAAAATAAAAAATCAATATTTAAATATTTTTCAAAATATTAATTCATTTGAAAAGTTTATTCAAAGATATTAAATCATGGGCCTTACCCGACACAACTCCTGCAATACACTGATCCGTCATTTTTATATCTTACAATACAAAGCATCCAGCCTGTTTGACTCAGCCGCACCACTGATTCAGGTTCTACACACAACTCCAGGCAGCTCAAACTATAGCGATGGATGATGTCACTACAGAGCTGCCGCGAGGAAGCTGTGCGTAGAACAGAGCAAGCCGCTCCTCAGGGCTCCCTCACGTCTCCAGATAAGGTCCTTCCAGCAAGTACAGGTGATACTCGAAAAATTTGAATATCGTGCAAGTTCATTTATTTCAGTAATGCAACGTAAAAGGGGAAACTAATATATGAGATAGACGCATTACATGCAAAGCAAGATAGTTCAAGCCGTGCTTTGTCATAAGTGCGATGATTATGGCTTACAGCTCACGAAAACCCCAAATCCACAATCTCAGTAAATGAGAATATTACATGCAATCAATAAAACAAGGAGTGTACATAGAACAATATCGGACCTCTGAAAGGTATAAGCATGCATATGGACTCAGTACTTGGTTTGGGCCCCTTTTTCTGCCTTAATGAGGTGTGGCATGGAAGCTATCAGCCTGTGGCACTGCTGAGGTGTTATGGAAGACCAGGATGTTTCAATAGCGGCATTCAACTCTTCTGCATTGTTCGGTCTCATGTCTCTCATCTTTCTCTTGTCAATGCCCCATAGATTCTCTATGGGGTTCAGGTCAGGCGAGTTTGCTGGCCAATCAAGCACAGTAATCCCACGGTCATTGCTGTGCTTGATGACAGTTTGGCAGTGTGGGCAGGTGCCAAGTCCTGCTGGAAAATGAAGTCAGCATCCCCATAAAGCTAGTCTGCGGAAGGAAGCATGAAGTGCTCCAAAATGTCCTGGACTTAATGAAGCACAGTGGACCAACAAACTTTACACTGGACTTCAAGCATCTTGCAGTGTGTGTCTCTCCATTCTTCCTCCAGACTCTGGGTCCTTGGTTTCCAAAAAAAATTGCTCTCATCAGAAAAGAGGACTTTGGACCACTGAGCAACAGACCAGGTCTGTTTTTCATTAGCCCAGGTAAGATGCTTTTGACGTTGTTTGTTGTTCAGGAGCGGCTTGACAAGAGGAATACGACATCTGAAGCCCATGTCCAAGATCCGTCTGTGTGTGGTGGCTCTTGATGCACTGACTCCAGCCTCAGTCCACTCCTTGTGAAAGTCCCAACACATTTGAATGGCCTTTTCCTGACAATCCTCTCCAGGCTGTAGTCATCCCTGCTGCTTGTGCACCTTTTTCCTTCCACACTTTTCCCTTCCACATAACTTTCTATTAATGTGCTTTGATACAGCACTTTGGGAACATCCAACCTCCGTCACAATTACCTTTTGAGGCTTTCCCTCCTTATGGTGGGTGTCAGTGATGGTTTTCTGCACAACTGTCAGGTCAGCAGTCTTCCCCATGATTGTGATTCCTACTGAACCAGACTGAGAGACCATTTAAAGGCTCAGAAACCCTTTGCAGGTGTTATGGCTTACTTAGCTGATTAGAGTGAGGCACTGTGAGCCTAGAATATTGCACCTTTTCACTAATTTACTGAGATTGTGGATTTGGGGTTTTCATGAGCTGTAAGCCATAATCATCGCATTTATGACAAATCACGGCTTGAACTATCTTGCTTTGCATGTAATGCATCTATCTCATATATTAGTTTCCCCTTTTACGTTGCATTACTGAAATAAATGAGCTTTTGCACGATATTCTAATTTTTCGAGTATCACCTTTAAGTGATGGGTGTGCCTCCTTAATATATGTGCCGAATCTTAGCATTTCATTTAACTGCCTCCTGCATCTGAATGAGTGTGTGTGACTGACTTTGTGTGGCTGTCTGTATGAGGCCACGTGGCTGTGACGGTGTCTGTATGACTGTCTTTATGAGTGTGTACGTGTGCCTGTGTGTATATCTGTGTAAATGTGTCTGTATGACTGTGTAAATATGTATATATGTGTGGCTGTCTGTATGACTGTGTTTATGAATCTGTTTGTATGACTGTCTTTATGAGGCTGTCAGTGTGACTGTCTTTATGAGTGTGTATGTGTGACTGTGTATGTCTCTGTGGGAGATATTTAAGTGTTTTGAAAAGTAATAGTTTGATCCGTTGTTCCACGGAAATATGGACTATTTTAAAACATTATGGGTGACATATGTGAAAAGAGGTATAGGCAGGAAAAGGAAGGGGCATGGGGAGAAGAAAATGACTTTTCCTAAAGGGACACTATAGGCACCAAAACCACTTTAGCTTAATGAAGCAGTTTGGGTGTATAGATCGTACCTCTACAGTCTCACAGTCCCATTCTTTGCCATTTAGGAGTTAAAACACTTTTATGCAGCCCTAGTCAAACCTCCCTGCATGTGACCTACACAGCCTTTCTAAACACTTCCTGTTGTTCCTGTAAGTGACATCTAATGTGTACACTTCCTTTATTGCACAATTAGTTTAATTTAGATTTTCTTATCTCCTGCACTGTTAATAGCTTGCTAGACCCTGCATGAGCCTCCTGTATGTGATTTAAGTTCAATTTACAGAGCAGGAGATACACAATTCTTAAGTAAGTTAACATCTGATTTAAATTTAACCATTTTTTTCATGCAGGCTGTGTCAGTCAAAGTAAAACAAAATTGATTTAACTCCTAAATGGCAGATAATTGAACAGTAAGACTGCAGGGGTATGATCTATATACCCAGACCACTTAATTAAGTTGTTTTGGTGATTATAGTGTCCATTTAATTTTGAACGTTAGGCTGTTTAGCAGAGAGCTGCCTAATTTGGTTTCAGTATATGTGGCAATCTCACATAAGGAAACCAAATTAGAGGGGCATCTACTAAACTGCTGGAAGATCAGAACTAATAAATGTTCTTCTATCTTGTGGTTATTGTTATTCCCACAATTAGTATCATTTTTAGCAATGTAGTTATATGGCATGTGACAAAGGTTGCAGACCCCTGTCCCAGAATCTTGCCAGTAATCTGCTTTGTGTGTGTGTTCTTAATGGAACTGGGTGAGAAGGTTTCATTAAGTAATAATTGCACACATTGAGGTTTTAGATTTTTTTTTAATTTGGTTGTTTATAGAATAAAAAAAAAAAAAATACAAATATAAAACCAAATATGGACGTGTAGTATATGCTGAAAACGAAGCTTTAGAAATACTAATAATGGGGAACAATACGCTGGGAACTTGAGATCCCTAAATTTGGAGTGAGCATTACTGGCAGTGAAGGCGTTAATACTGTTCTTTTATTCAGACTGAGTAATTCCATTCATTATCTGAAAATATTGTTATAACTTTTACACAGCAAATCTCCAAATTCTAAAATCCATCATTGTTCCATTTCATTGCACAGTTCAGGACTGCGCCCAACATAGTTTGTAATATTAGATTGATTCATTCCATGATGGTGATAATTCGGGAGCACTGGGCGGCCTGAATTCAAGGTGTCACATTAACAAATCTCTGAGCTCACCTGCGTGCTTCTTAAATGTAGAATTTCTGATGGTGCATGCTGATTGGTTTAAAGGGACTGCCTTAGAGGTCGGAAATAGTGGTTGATAGCGATTAACCTCACTACATATTGCACTTAGTTTGCAGCCCAGGTAACTGTGCTCCCTATAGCAGGCATAGGGCCACGACTGTGCAGGCAAACACTGATTTACTGAACCCACTTCATAACAACTTGTATCAAGTGTTCAGGTTATTAATTGGAAAGGCATAAGACGCTTGCAGATACAAAGTACATTCTCAGTACTTGCCATCCTGTGCCAGTCACCACCTCTGCCATCTGCATGTGAAACCTAAACAAAGCATTTTCTAATGACAAAAATAATAAAAAGGCAGGGAGGGGGCAGTGTAGATAATAAAATAAAGTCACTATGCATACAATCGCACACCTAAATACTAAAATAATAGACACATAAAAAAAAACTAAATAAAAGATACAGATTTGGGCGTTTGCCATTAGTTAAACATAGCACCTTTAACGTGTATTTAAGGGGAATCTGAAAGAACGTAAGTTGGGGCTGGTTTGGCGCATTAACTCTTACGCTGTCACATTAACGTGCAGGGACCTATTTTACTGGGGGTTCCTTCTGATGGGTTACATTTAGCCAAACATCCAGTAAATTCCTACAGGTACAGACATTTCTAATGCCTGGCCACAGTTGGTTAACCTAGCGACAGATACTGGCCTGCGCATGCTACAGCTTCTTAGAGGCCCTGAGAACCAGTAACACGTTCTGGTGGATAAAACGCCACGTCGCGTTTGTAAACACATCTCTCCGGCACTAACTGGTCCCAATAAAAAATAAAATAACTGACAGAGTTTGGTTCTGTGCAGAGACCCCTCAGATGAGATATATTATCTCTATTCAATATCAAGCATTACTTACAAAGTGTCAATAAAGTGACAATAAGGCAACCAGCAAAGGAAATCATTTGTCCTAAAGAGGGACCGGTCTAGTCTTGTGCAAAAAAAATGGGGTCCAGCTACAGCTGAATGGATTTGGTTCTGGTAATGTAATTCACAATACAACAAGCCAGTCCCAGGGCGTCTGGCATTATCAAATGTCACAATGCATTCTGGGTAAGGCGGTTACACACTGCATACTCAGTACTGCATACAGTAATGTGTCATAATATGGATTCTCAGTGAACAGTGCCACCAATAGGCAACAATATGAACTGCTTGGAGATCCCCAGCTGGGTGCCTTATTGTGTGACAAGTCAGGGAACAGACAGAAACGTGGCTGCATGCCACATGGAAATGATAAGTGATCTAATGGTTTTTGGCAGGGGTTAAAACTTCCCAAAGCCCCTTCCCCTCTGGTTGCATCTATGCCCTACAGATTTTAGTTTTCCTTGACATAGATAAAGACAGATTTCCCTGCCGGTCCTATAGGCTAAGTAACGGGGCCTTGTCCTGATGGCCCCGCAGTGCAGGGAATCTGTGCCAACGTTTTAGATGTCCTTGGCACTGCCATGCTTGGATTTCTCCACCGTCTCCTGTTTAAACAAACAAATGACAAAGCAATCAGCACATTAATACACAAATGGAGTTACTGTGTTCACACTACATGTCACGTAATGACGAATGTTCATAGGGAAACCATATGCTGGTTGGCGAGGATCGAACGGCACGGAATACAAGGTCAGCTAAACCTATGGGGTTACCCCAGAGCTCCTACACTCCTCCATTCCCACATACATTACCGGATACAAAGCATTGCTATTCTCTCTCCCAGTGGGGCAGACACAGGAACCCCCACTATGGGTATCAAGGTTAAATCTCCGGATCTGATTTGATCTAAGTTTACAAATTCGGTGCAGTTTGTTTTGAATCTGGATGCACACAAACTGTATTCTCATAGCAATTCCAATTACTTGTCAGGTGACACGAATGTAAACAATCTAAATATACTCATTTTGGCCACAATAGCTGAATAGAGTCTGATGGGTGTAACGTCACATCTCCTACCTGATGCTTTCTCAGTTCATCCACATATCTGGCCATCTCTTCCTCCGGCTGCATGTCCTTCCCTAGATAGAAATTAGACATTGTTAGAATAACTCACTATATTCACAGATAGCTCACTATATGCACAGATAGCTCACTATATTCACAGATAGCTCACTATATGCACCGATAGCTCACTATTGTCATAGTCTGATTAGCTCACACTATTCCCAACTCTATAATGCACTAGATAGCTCAATATATTTAATGGCTCACTATAACTCAGATAACCATCACTGTATTCACTATCATTCACTTAATAGATCACTAGATAACTCAGTATATTCACTCACTGTAATTCACTAAGCAGATATATTCACTAACTCACTATATTTTAATAGATAGCTCACTATATTCACTGGCTCAGTAAAGGGTGGCCCATAAGTCCCTACCCATCCATGTATCCTATGTATCCAGTGTTTCTGTGTGCTGGATGGGTAAGGACTTATGGGCCACCCTGTACCGAGCCAGTGAATATAGTGAGCTATCTAGTGAATTGTAGTGTAAAATATACACTGACCCTATATTTCACTAAATAGCTCACTGTATTCACTGACACTATAATTTGCTACATAGTTCACTATTGTCAATGACTGCAGGTTCTGGAGTTTTTCCATACATTCTGGCAGCAAGCTCAGGGATTGGTTACATTCAGTGTTAGTGTGTTGCCATCTTGATATGTTACCTTCACATGCCATGGCGGTGCACACCCAGTTTCCACAGGCACAAACACAGCGGTTACACTGCACCTGGGTCTCTGCGCCATCCTCGTAGGTTTCATCCTCCAAAGCGCACTCTGCGAAAATGAATGGATATATCACAGTCACAATCAGCATGTGGGGAGTATTGGGTGGGCTGTACTCACTGCAGCTCTTCACAGAGTAAACATTAAACCTGGCACCAACTACAAAATATACAGTGAACCCTGCAGCACCTCACAGACTACAGATTGAACCCTGCAGATCTCTGTATTATAGACACTAAATCAGACAGCTCCCACTGGACTAGAGATTGAACCCTGCAGATCTCTGTATTATAGACACTAAATCAGACAGCTCCCACTGGACTAGAGATTGAACCCTGCAGATCTCTGTATTATAGACACTAAATCAGACAGCTCCCACTGGACTAGAGATTGAACCCTGCAGATCTCTGTATTATAGACACTAAATCAGACAGCTCCCACTGGACTAGAGATTGAACCCTGCAGATCTCTGTATTATAGACACTAAATCAGACAGCTCCCACTGGACTAGAGATTGAACCCTGCAG